GGCAGGTTTGGTAGGGTTGGGTTTTTTTCCTTGTGGATGGAGATTAGCGGCATAAATCCTTTTATGGCAGTGTGCAATCCCCCATAAACACTTTTGATTGTTGCTGATGGTGAGCGCTGTGTCTATTTCAAGTTCACTCAATGTTCTGCTCATCTAGGCCAATAACTTCTCCAACCAGATAAGGGAGTCCAAATAACCAGCCTTTACTCTTAAGATCAAGGAGTTCAAGGAGGTGGGACAGGGTTGGGGTTGAGGGAGACGGATATTTAATCAAGCCTCGAAATATTAATGATGAGAACAAACCACACATTGTACTGTTTTTGAGTGAAAATCTCCTAAAAAGACTCTGTGATGACAAGAAGCAAGTGTCGATGTAAAGGGTTTGTTTGCTTTAAAAACAACAACAACAAGAAGGGGCGCCTGGGTGACTCCATCGGTTAAGCATCCGACTTCAGCTCAGGTCATGATCTCACGGTTCGTGGGTTCGAGCCCCACGTCGGGCTCTGTGCTGACAGCTAGCTCAGAGTCTGGAGGCTGTTTCAGATTCTGTGTCTCCCTCTCTCTCTAACCCTCCCCTGCTCATGCTGTCTCTCTCTCTCTCAGAAATAAATAAAACATTTTTAAAAAACAGCTTTTTATATTCTTATCTAAAGCATCTTCAGTTAACAATTTTGTGTAATTAACCTCTTAGCTCTACGATACATGATGTGTATAGAGTTAAGGACTGGGGAGCCTGTACAGTTCTGATTCCTTAACATTGTGGGCGTGTATCCCCACCTTGGAGGTAGAAACACTTCCACGTTGAGGATTTCGGGTCTCTCGGGAGCATCTCAGCACTTTTTCTGGGTTTTCCAAACAATCTGGGCACAAGAAGTCAAACTTTATTGAAAACGTTGATCCCAGGAATTCAGTTCTCTCTGCCATCTCAAAACTAAAATCCAAGAATCAGCAACTTAATAAAAATGCAGTAAATGAGCACCTCTACACAAGAGCAGAGTTCATTCAGAGCTGGGGTCTGCCTGGCTGAGCCAGTACTCTCTCCATTTTAATAGTTTAATAAAAATTAGCATAATTAACGAACATCTGTATGATCCAGAGTGGTGCAATTTGGCACTTGGAAACGAGGGCTTAAACATGATTGCTGTGAGTTTAATGTTGTTTTAATTCTTTTTGGCACTGTGCAGTGAAATGAATGTTTGGTGGTGATAGTTCTCGGCCGGATCTCATCTGCATTTTTCTCCCTTTGATTATGAGCAATTGTGGACTCCCCAGCAATTCATCAAAGTAGAAATTATTTTAAAATACCTCGTGGTGTTCAGACTGGGCTGGGGCAATGCATGGGGGGTGGTAGTGGAAGAGAAGGCTAGAAATTTTCCATTCATGCTTTAAACATCTCAGGCCCTGCAGCCCTTTTTGCGTCTCCAACCAAGGGATGAAATCTGGAAAAGCCAGTCAGATCCCAAGACCTGTAGGTGCCTCGATTAAGCTCCTAGGCTCCCGCAGCGGGATGCTTATGGTCTCTGAGACTGTGCCATCCTCCTTACGCTCTGCCTGCTCTTTTGTTTTGAAGGGCAAAGAGTTGATTTCACTCATTGCGGGTCTCACCACTGTGGTGGGGCTACTACATCTGCGGTCGGCATGGTCAGTGCTCCCCTCGAGCAAGAGCCCGCTGGCTGGGAGCCTGGCCTTTGCAGGTGCCCTGCTGAGGCTCATCTGCTCCCTGTTTGCACCCTCTTCGAGTTGGCAGAGAGCACCTTCCCAAGGCTCAGTCCCTACTCCTGGCATGACGGCCAAAGGCAGATGCGACGAAGCATGAGTCCAAGTCAGGAGGAGTCTTGACCTATCCCTAGGGAGGGATTGCCTGATCTGAGCCCCTCAGGTGATGAAGATGACACCATATGGCGGGTGGAAGACCACACTTCACACATGTTTCAGAAAGTTGACTTTGATCAGAAGACTGTCAAACAATGTTGTGCCCACCCTCTGCCTGTGAGGAGGGGTTTATGGGTAACTGTGCAAGAGGAAGGCAGAGTACATGTTCCCTTTCACAGCAAGGCTTTATGGGAATGGTGTTCCAGCAACACACTAAACAAAAGGCAACACTACAAGAAAAGTTAAGGCGGAAACTGCCCTAACTTCAGTGTTGGAAAATGGACAATAACATAATTTGTACGGAGAGGAGCTTAAATCGTCCCAACAGGCAGAGGCCAAGGAGCTCTGGGTAATTTCCCACAAGGCAGTGCAGATGGTAGGGAGAAGCTGGCCTGAGGGACGGAAGGAATGAGAAGGCATGGGGAGATGGCGTACTGGGTAGTAGATACATTCATTTATTTAAGACTGGCTTTCAGGGGCGCCTGGGTGGCTCAATTGGTTGAGTGTCCGACTTCAGCTCAGGTCATGATCTCGTGGTCTGTGAGTCTGAGCCCTACATCGGGCTCTGTGGTGACAGCTGGGAGCCTGGAGCCTGCTTCAGATTCTGTGTCTCCCTCTCTCTCTCTGCTTCTCCCCTGCTTGTATTCTGTCTCTCTGTGTGTGTCTGTGTGTCTCTCTGTCTCTCTCTCTCTCTCAAAAACAAATAAACATTAAAAAAAATTTTTTTAAAAACTAGTTTTCAAAAGCCAATTCCCTGTTCTTTGTAGGATCAACTCAGTCTCACTCATTATGGCATCTGAGACTCTCTTCATGGTATTTAGGGAGCCACTGGGGGAAAGTGTCTCCAAAGGCAGCTGCTCTCTTCCTGCCACAACCAGTTTAATCACCAGGGGAATATCTCGGAGTTAGTTGTAACTAAATCTGCTCAACTGAATAAATCCCACTGCTCCCTTCCTTTCTTCATAACCTCATTTAACAAGTATTTTTTGGCCCCATTCTGTGCCAGGTACCATGCTGAGTACAGGGAGTGGAACAGCAAACAAAACCAACAAGGTCTCAGCTCTCACAGAACTTTCCCCTTAGTGAGTGGCACTGAGTCAAAGGCAGGCAGATACAAGGCAGTGAGATGAACTCATTTCCAGGGAAGCACAGGGCACAATACTGTGGACCACATTGCTGGGGCCCCCACACAGAGAGTGGCAAAGAGAGGCTCCGAGAGAGTCTAGAGACACCCAGGAATTGAGATCTGAAGGCTGCTTAGGAGGGAGGAGGGAAGTAGAAGCTAAAGAGACTGAGGACAGGCTTCAAGGTAAGAGAGCCTGTGACCCATGGGAATAGCTGAGCCAAAGTCTGTTTTACTAAGGGTCCACTAGATTTAGGGGGTGCACGTCAATGCTGAGCAGTCAACGGGAGAGACCAGGTCATGCACAGCCTCAGCTTCGTCCACTCTTGTTAAGACATTGACGGAAGGCAGTGGGGAGCCACTTAAAGGTTTCAACAGAGCAGTGATATTATCAGTGTGCACTAAAAGGAGTCTGGCTGCAGAATGAAGACAAGATTGGAGGGACAAGAATGGAGGTACAGAAACCATTGTGGGGGTCATTTCTGTAGTCCTCAAGAGAGATGACAATGACAAGAATAGGGTATCAGCAATGGGAATGGAGAGAAGTGCATGGATTCCGGTAATGCTCTGAAAAGAATCTACAGAACTCAAGGACTGACTGGAAGAGGAGGGTGAAATTGGAAATGACTCTTGGGTTTCTGGCTTGATTAACTGAGTGCATGGTGCTACCTCTCACTAAGATGGAGAACACAGGAGGTAAAGATAGTTTGGGAGTGGGAATGGAGATACAGGCAGGATGATGGAACAACTTTACGATACATTGAGTTTGAGTAGCTTAATATATGCACTTGTGTATTAGGTGCATATGATCCAACACTTAGATCCGGGCTGGGGCTGTGGTTGTGAGTCATTTACATGGCGGCTGAAGCATGGACGTATATAAGGTTGCTCAGGGAAAGTGCAGTAAGTCAGAAGAGGGCCAGGATGAACACTGGCAACAACCATACTAAAAGGAAGGGTAGAGAAAGATGCAAAGGAGAATGAGAAGAAGCAACAAAGGAGGTAAGAAAGAAGCCAGGAGAGTGTAATTATCATAGAAACTAAGAGAAGAAAATGCCTCAATAAGGGTCCATAGTGCCAGTACTGCTGAAAGATCAAGTAAATTAAAGACTGAGAAGTACCATCCAGTCTGAGCAATAAGAAGATTATAGGAGACCTTGGGGAAAATGTATACGTGGTGTGATAAAAACAGAAGCCTGAGTAGAGTGGCTTAAAGATTGAATAGAAAGCAAGAACTTGGGGTAGACAGTGAAGTAAAGTCTTTTCAGTAAGTGTGACTGTGAATTAGCGGTTAGCATAGACTAGTAGAAATGGGAAGTAGATGGGGCACCTGGGTGGCTCAGTCAGCTAAGCGTCCGACTTCAGCGCAGGTCATGATCTCACAGTTCGTGGGTTCCAGCTGTGCTGACAGCTCAGAGCCTGGAGTTTGCTTCAGATTTTGTGTCTCCCCCTCTCTGTGCCCCTCCCCTGCTCACACTCTGTGTCTCTCTCTATCTCAAAAATAAATTAACATTAAAAAAATTTTTTTAAATAAATGGGAAGTAGACCTGTGGTGGGAACTATTTAATAAGTGTTTGCAAATGGGGCCTGGGTGGCTCAGTCGATTGGGCATCTGAGTCTTGATTTCAGCTCAGGTCATGATCTCATGGCTTGTGAGTTCAGGCCCCACATGGGGTTCTTGCTAACAGCACAGAACCTACTTGGAATTCTCTGTCTCCCACTCTCTTGGCCCCTCCCTCTCGCACTCTCGCTCTCTCTCAAAAATAAATAAATAAATTTTTTTAAAGATACAGAAAATTCTGCTTTTAAAAAAATTAAAAAGTAAGTTTTTTTAAAGATAAAAGAAACTTGAACACATTTCATGCTGATGGAAGGAGCCATTTACATTAGAGGCTGAGGTCAGACTCCACAGAAACTCATCTCTGAGAAATAGAGGAAGTGGAAGGGTTACAGACACACGTAGTGAGGAATAGTCTTAAACCAAAGTACACATGGGGAGAGAGAGTCTTAAACCAGAGGAGGGACACTTCCTCCACTTTAATGGGAAAGATGGGTGGTTGTCCGTACAGATTAGTTCCTCTTTTGGTGGCTGGAGGTTGACACATATGATAGGTTCTCTTTCCTTTCTGAAGGTGGAAAAGAGGTCATCTGCCGAGAAGGAGGGGGGAGGCAGGGTTGGAGGTGGGGAGATACTCTATCAAAAAAGAAACAGAAAGATACCCAGTTATCATGAAATTTTCTTGTGTCACCAACCCGGTTTTCTTTCTTTCTTTTCTTTTTCTTTTTTTTTTTTCCTAGTAGAATTCAACAGCCAGGTGTGCAAAAAAAGCAGACAGGCAGCTTCATGGTACCCCAAAGCCAGCTGAACCAAAATACATATTTCCTATAGTATTCCTAAATTTTACTTCCATCAAAAGAAAGACTATTTTCTGGTGCTTTCAGAAGTACTCCCATAATGTTTAACATCCACTGTGCTTTTGGAAAAGCTCTTCTGTATCCGAGGTGCTCCACTCCCAACCCTGTAACCACCCCTTCTTTTAAGCCCTCTCATTCTCTCTTATTTGCCCCTCTCTGGGGCCCTTATGTCCTACCTGTCATTACTAATATACCTGTCAACCTCCCACCTCTTCCCGGGGAAGAATCTAATGTTTAGAGCACCTCCTATGTATCAGATTATTATACTCCCACAACATAGGGGAGAGATATTATCCCTGCTCTTACAGAAAAGGAAGCTAAAGCTAGGAGAACATAAGGTCACACGGCTGTGAAATGACCAAGTGGGGATTAGATCCCAGTCTGTCTGACTCCAAAGCCCATTACTCTATATGCTCTCAGCTCCTGGGGAGGAAGCAACACTCTGATCCATCATTACATACCTCATGGGAACTCAAACAGCACTTTGCTTGGTAAATATTATTGATTTGAACTGTGACCTGATTCCCTGAATATCTTTAGTGCTCTGGCATTTCGGACGTGCCCGACTTTCTCAGAAGTAGCCGATCCACTCTGCTTCGTAAAAGACATGCTCTTTACAATGCAATGGCATCACCTATACTAGGTTTACACTGTTGAATGTAAACATATTGTCCCATGCGATCACTGTAAAAGATGAACAGAAGTGTGACCGAATTCCAGCTGAAACCATCCTTTTTCCTGTTTCAGGAGTATAACATGTATGGCTGGTGGGTAGGAGAGCTGAACAGCCTCATTGGGATTGTTCCAAAGGAGTATCTCACCACTGCGTTTGAGATGGAAGAAAGATGAAGCCCAGGTATCAGAACTATTGCCAGTCTGTTGGCCATGCTGTCCTCTCTCTGTGAAGAATAAGAGTTGCCAGTGAAGTGGCTTTTCTTTATGATTTAATTAGCATAGAAATTTAATTTTTCTCTTCTGCAAAAATCTGAAGGTAAATGATCCAAGGTATCAGGTCCCCAGAGATCTTCTCTTTTGGCTCCACTTGTGTGTGGCCAGCATTCTAAAGCTTACCTCGTGGCCCAAGATGAATGCCGCAGCTCCAGCTGTCATGTCTGTACCCTGCCCGGCAGGAAAGATCAAATGAAAGAAGGACACACCTACTTGTCTTAAGGACATTTCACAGATGTTGCACCCACCACTGCTTACATTCCATTGGCCAGAAGTTGGACAGATATTATTCTACTTATTCTAGGTAGAACCTGTGTCCAGCTTAAAAGTGAAGAGGGGAGAGAATTCGTTAATACATGAAGAAGGGAAAATGCATATTGGGAACAACTAGGAATTTCTGCCACAAGAGTGGGTCTGGGTTTCTTTATCCCCTGTTCCTCAATCCAGAGCACCATTTCCTCCAAATGCCCATGTATTACGGTATGACTGGCCAAGACTAGGGCTCCAGTATGAGGATTCCCATGAAACATAATCAAATTTGCTTCTAGGTAATAAAGAACATGGCTTGTGTTTTATGAGCAACAACCACATCATCTTTAAAACTGTGGAGTGAGTGCTTGCTTTGGGCGGGGTAGCAATAGGGGTTGCTTTGGAACTTCGAGGTTTTTGTTTAGAATTAGGATATTGCTGGAGGGTACCCAAGGCTAGCATGGTGTCGCGAGCTCCATCTTCCGGCCTGAAATGAGAGCAACCTGTATTACTGGGGCTGAAGGATGAGTTGTGCGACAGTGACACAAACTGTCCTTGGAATCTTCCAGACCAGGGCCCACTCTAGTGTGCAGCAGCTGCTGCGTGGATTCATTGAGGGAGATACATAAGTATAGATCTTACTCTCTGATGCCCTTGTACAACGTAAAGCACTAGCTCAGGCCTGTCGTTCAAGGTTTGACTTTATGACTTTCCTGATGAGGACTTTATTTCCTGGCCATGAATGCAGAAAGGTTGGGATTTTTCTGTCAAATCTAAACAGATTCACTCTACTTTGCTATGTCATTTACTTAATGACACAGTTGTTTATCTCCTCATTCTCTCTAATCCAACAATTCTACATCTAGGAGTTAATCCTATTGCTGCACCTGCACACGTACAAAAGGATATACACCTGGCACCCGGCTGGCTCAGTCGGTAGAGCATATGACTCTTGATCTTGGGGTTGTGAGTTCAAGCCCCATGTTGGGTGTAGAGGTTACTTTTTATTTATTTATTTTTTTAATGTTTATTCATTTTTTGAGAGAGAGAGATGGAGACAGAGTGTGAGTGGGGGAGGGGCAGAAAGGGGGAAACAGAATCCAAAGCAGGCTCCAGGCTCCAAGCTGTCAGCACAGAGTCCCCCCACCCCCCGCACGGAGCTCAAATCCACAAACTGTGAGATCATGACCTGAGCTGAAGTTACACACTTAACCGACTGAGCCACCCAGGTGCCCCTAGAGATTACTTTTTTAAAACCGCCCGGGGAGTGTCCAGTTGCCTCTGGGTGTAGAAGATATCTCTGGAAGGACAGAGGGGCGCCTGGGTGGCTTAGTCGGTTAAGCGTCCGACTCTTGCTTAGGTCATGATCTCACGGTTCGTGGGTTCGAGCCCCGCGTCGGGCTCTGTGCTGACTGCCAGCTCTGAGCCTGGAGCCTGTTTCAGTCTGTGACTCCCTCTCTCTCTGACCCTCCCCTGCTCATGCTGTCTCTCTCTCTCTTTCCTAGAAATAAATAAAACATTTTAAAAAATTTAAAACAAAAAGATATCTCTGGAAGGACAGAGACAATAACCCTGGTTGCCTAAAAAGACAGAGAAAGCGCATGAGTGTGAGGGTAGGAGGGGGACACCGTTTACTTTGTACCCTTTTATGCCGTCTTTATTTTGCATCATAAAAGCAAATTTATGTATTTTTCCTCCTTTAGGACACATAGCCTTGTCTCTGTCCTGCCTTTTTGAAGAGACTGATCATCAAGAGTTCCTATTCCCTCCCCCAGCCGCCCCACCAACACCATGGACTGTTCTCTTTACTGAACGGACCCAAGCCTCGGTCCCAAGCCTCGGACACCTTGCAGTAACTGAAAACCGCCAGTAAGATGAGTAGGAAGAGGCACAGTCAGCAGATCGGTTACAAAACCTGCCCTGTCATAGCTTCGCCCACCTTTACTTTTCTTTTTCATCCCGCCTTTAAACATGTCCCCACATCCACACCTGCCTTCTCCACAGGCTTGTCACAAAGGTGAGAGAAAAGGAAGCCTTTGGACAAGGAAGTTGCTAGTTGTTTCGGCTGACTTGAAAAGCGCAAATAAACTTCATATTTGGTTCTTTGCAGTGCATGATAGTGTCAGGTTTTCTTTTTGCAGCGGTATCAAAAATGCTGGTTCCGGGCACTCTTGTCACCTCCAAACAAAGAAGAAGATAGCCAGAGAGAAAACACAAACTCAGGCAGAGAAGGAGAGTTGCAGTTACCTTTCGGGCAGAATCCTCTCTGGAACCCGGGCCTGCCTGCTTTCTGGGTGGCTTCTCAGACTTCTTCTGGCTGCATACTTGGTTATTTTTCCTTACGTGCTGACTCTGAAATGAGACAGAGTTAGAAGCAAGTCCTTGGAGTCAGCACATTGGAGAGCTCCTTTTCGGGCCCCTGGTGAGCAACCACACAGTGTCTTGCATTACAAGTCCCAGATAAGGACCAAGGAAGTGCTTTGAGGAAGTCCTGTGTGTATACAGCCCCGTTCCTTTCCCTGCTGTCTGTACCTAGTACAGGTTATCTGTGTCTTGAAGAGGCGGCAAAGCAAGGTGGTTAAGAACATGAGAATAAACCCCAGTTCCCCATTTACTACATATGTTCTCTCAAGCAACTTGCTAGACATTTTATGCCTCAATTTCCCCACCTTAGAATCTAGTGGGGACTCCATTTCAGTGGGTCACTAGGAAAATTAGAGTCAGCATGTGTAGCGTACTTGGAACAATGCCTGGCATGTAGTAAACGGCTCAGTAAAGGCTTAGGTATTGTTATGGCCAGACTCACTGTGCAAGAAATTTTGGGCAAGGTACAACTGAGCGGCTGTAGAAATGTTACCTCTGAAACTGCCTGTTCAGAGCAGTCCCGAGCAGTCCTGGATTGGCAGTAGCCCTCCTCACCCCTGCGACAACCGTATTCTAGACCTGCGGTGAGATGCCCATTTCACACCACCGAGAGAGAAGCTGGAGAGCAAACGGGGATGCTGTCAGTGTTTCCCAAGTTCCTCAGAACATTTTCTGCCAGCCATTCAGTTCCAGATTTCCTGACCCGGGAATTAAAAAAAAAAAAAAAGGACACTTTTTGTGTATGTGATGGATAAAGAGGTAAGAAAGGGCGACAATTGAGGCGTGGGAGAAAAAACAAAAAAGAGAAAGGGAGCTAAAAGGCAATACAGAGCTGTTGATAGCGTGCCCTCCACTTTACACAGGGCGCTAAAGGAGACGGAACCACTAGGTGGCAGCAGAGGAGCAGATGAACCAAACACAACCAATTGCCTCCTGTTTCAGGAAGCTTTGCACCAATCCCAACACAGGTAAACACAATGGGCATTGTTCTGAAGTGTTTAAGGGAGGAAGCAAACAGAAACCCCTCTATGCCCCCAGAGTGTTCCCTCCCTTAAAGAAACCCCCAGGGACCCAAGGCTGGAAGGCTGGTGGCTAAGAGGAGAGCATTCCGTTGTGCCCCAGCTCTGTGACTGAGAGACACCAGAAAAGGGGAGACCAGAAGAGGAAGAGCAGGTATCTGGGGCAGGGTCAGAAGAAGGATGAAAAAGGAGGAAGGTCAAGATAACTTCACCACTCTGCCCAGTTCAGGGATCTCTCTGTATCATGGTCATTGGCGTTTAAAACAAAATCCCCTTAGTGCAATAGTGTCTTCTATGCCTGGGGGCCGGAAGAAACAACCATGTGCCCTACTGTGAAGGTCTTCTGCACCTCCATCAACTGCACGGTGGGCGCCACACTCAGACCTCTGACCCTTCTAGCTGTAAAACTCAGCAGAAAGGGAAATTGGACTGGCCCTCAAAGATATGAACAAATGGACTAATCAGGAATTTGGTCCATAGCCATCTGGCGACCTCCGATATTGCTACAGGAAAGGATAGAGGAAGTCCGATGGGTTGAAGACTATCTACAGGTTGAAGAACATTCTCTTTTAGGGGAAAGTTCTGAAGGAGACCTTTTGGAAGCAGTGGATTCCTAGTTTGTCTGAAGCTAGACCACACCCACCCAAACTGCTCCCACTCAATTTGACAGCCACTATGTTAACCAACAGCCTCAGAAAGCAACTGGCTAATCAGATTACCACTTCTCTGGCTCCGCTAACCAAATCCTCACCTTACTGCCTGTGACTAACTGGATAACTGGGGCATTAGACCACTTATCTAACCACATTATATGTAGGGTGGCTCCTTGATTTCCACTAATTGCTCTGGCACGGGGAAATAGGAGAGGGAGGCTCTTTTCCTTCCCTGATTTTACGTAAAGGAAGGAAAAGAAGAAAGGAAAGATCCTAAATTTAAGAAGCAAATGTATATCTGCCTTTTACAGATAAATAATAACTAACCAAGGACGTCTAACATCCGAGAACTAACTTTGTGTCATCCACTGGATAATCTGACCTGGGACTGGCACCATTTGGCCTGCATTGTCCAAGCTGCTATCAGAGAATCCTAAACGCTCTGAAAGCAACCTTTCAGCTACATTTCACTAAAAATATTTTTTTCCTAGTGTGTTTTCTCTGTCATCTCTGTATAGCAAAATAGCAGAGATATTGTTTTGGACCACCTCCGTATTAAATTTTCTCATACTATTGTCTCTTGTAGAAATCTGTATTTATTTATTTTTAATTTTTCTTCTTTTTTTAATGTTTTATTTATTTCTGAGAGAGAGGCAGTGTGAGTGGGGGGGGGTCAGAGAGAGAGGGAGACACAGAATCTGAAGTAGGCTCCAGGCTCTGAGCTAACTGTCAGCACAAGAGCCCGGCACGAGTCTCAAACCCACAATCCAGGAGATCATGACCTGAGCCGAAGTCGGACGCTTAACTGACCAAGCCATCCAGGCGCCCCGTAGAAATCTGTATTTAATTCAAAACCCATACACTTGTTCCTCTGGCAAAAAAAAAAAAAAAAAAGTGGGAAAGAGACAGTAATTCCTCTCGCATCTCACTTCCTAAACCAGACAGTCTGATTCCATTTGAAGTGAGCGCAGTGGCAAAAGCTGGACCTGATGAGATGCACCCCCTCCCATTCGAGACAGATACTGGATCTCAACATAGCATATGAGGAACTGCCTAGATTTCAAGTTATCGCTCGCTTCTTTTTTTTAGCTTGCTCAGTTGTACCGCCTCATTTGCCATCGGTCTCTGCAAGTGGCAAAGCTAAGGATCTGAAAGGTGTTGACTTGGACAAAAATCATACAGAATCTTCCCGGGAAGGAGCAAATGCAATGAACAACCCTGGAAATTCTCAGTCTGCTGCTTTGCTTGTTGAATCACCCGAGCCCGGCTGCAGTTAGACACCTCCAGTGACACATTTTCAGAGTCTACGTTTCATGCCAGTCACTTGCATCACAATAAAGCAGCGGTTCCGTGCAGAGCAAGATCACGCATGTGCAGGGGGAAATCGGCGGGGGGGGGGAGATGTTCCTGCCTTGAAAAACCAGTCTGAGAGAGATGGAGTTCAAGAGAATCAAGAAAGAAAAAAAAAATGAAAGAAACCCAAGTATGTTTTTTTTTCATATAAGAACAAAACTCTCTCAGATGTCAAGGTCAGAGGTGCTTTCATCTCTGGCCAAAGAGAAGCCCTCCCCACAGGTCTCGCCACAGAGAGTGGTTCTGGAAGGATAAATCTTACGTGCCATTGATTTGCTAATTCCTGGAACACCAGCCAAATCTGTGGAGCTGATTTAGAAAAAGCAGCCGTCTACACAGAGGATTATCCCTGCTACACAGCCCAGTGACTCAGACTCATTTTCTAGTTTGTGGATTACCATAGTCCCTTGCTCCTCCCCCTTCCCTCCTGCCCAGCTATTTCAGTTCCCTTTAGAATTTACAGAGATTGGTAGGGAGTTTGAAATTTAGCAACTCAAAAGAGATTTTTCTTCTTCGAGGGATTTGAAGTGTTCTCCATATTTCCCTATCAAAAACTAACCGTTTTGGTGAGCGGGTTTTGTTGTTATTAGCGACTTGATGACCATTCTTTTGCGACTCTATAGGATTCAATTAGCAATATATTTTAAGCTGTAGCCCATTTTGTACGAAAATCGTTTATAAATGTAATGCCTCCCCCTCCCCCAAAAAACTATTGTATTAGAGGAAGCTGAACTAGAAGTAACAGGGTGACCATATAACTTATTTCCCAAACAGAGGTTGTTTTGAGACAAAAGGGGAGTCACTGACCATTGATCATGTGGCCAAGACCACAGGTGTAAATCAGGATGAGAGGTCCCCCTAAAAATCAGGCAAAATGGGGCATCCAGTCACCTGGGGAGGGAGGGAGTGGACAGTAGATAGAGATTATCTGGCTCTCCGGATACGACACTTGGGAACATTCCTTCTAATGAACTCCTCCCCTGCCAGCCTGGTTCCTTGGCAAACTCTGCCAACTAGGCTTTCTTTTCCTGATGCCTGGGCTGCTCTGAGGGGCCTGGTATGTCTGGCCTCGAGCTGCTCCTGGGGCTGGCCGGCTGTCGGCCGCCGTGTGTGTTCCAGTCGGTCACGGGGCCCCATTGCGGCCGGCCACCCCTCCACCTGGCAAGGCGCCACGAAGGAAGCACGTTTGTAGCCCTGGGCAACGGTGTGCCACTCCCTTGCCTCCTGTGATGGGAGCGAGTTCCAAGAGGCTTCTAGTGCTGGTCCTCAAAGGGGGCATCTGGCTCTACTGCAGACAATCTTAACCTGATGGTGAGCAGCTGGCCCTCTTTTATCCCCTCGTCAGATCACGGAACAGAAAACAGGCTGCAGACACTTCCCTCTTACCTGCGATCGGTCAGACACTCCAGCCTTGCTCCGCCTTGAACCCACCAGGCGGCACATGCACACCACCCACCTGTACTGGATGCCTCCCGTGGGTCGGCACCCCGCTGGGCCTGTCACTGACATACCTCACCTCTGGGAAAGCGCCTGGCGTCTGGAGATTTTACATCATTTCTTTGACATCTCTAGGGCTGGGGGGGGGGGGGGGGGGGTGGGCAGAACTTGGAGCTTCCTACTTCATCTGTTAGTGCGGGATTCTTAACCTGGCACTATTGACACTTGGGGCCAGGTGATTTCATGTTGCGGGGGGCACTGTAGGATGTTCAGCAGCATCCCCGCTCTCCACCTACTAGATGCCGGCAGTACTCCTCCCACTTCCCCCACTCCCCACAGTTTTGACCCCCAAAACTGTCTCCAGACAGTGCCAAATGTTCCCTGGGAACAAAATCACCCCTGGCTGAAAACCATAGTCTTGGGACATGGGTGCGCTTAGGGCCAAGCACAGAGGAACGGTCCTACTTTCTAGCAGTGTGTGCTTTGGCCACTGGATTATAGTGATAGAAGTTTATGGCTAGGTTGGGAAGGCCTAGGGGGAAAATGCCAAGAATTCCTCAGGATCTAAGAACCAGCAGGCCAACCCCTCTGCTCCTTGGAGATCGGCTTGCCTGGCTGCTGCAGGTTTGCACTACAAAAATGTTTGCAAATGACTGAGCCTGTAATTGCTGATTTAGAGAGCTGCGTGCCAGTCTCTCACATCTTGAGCTCTGTGGTTGTGGTCCTTGCTCCCCCTTCCCATTGCAGAAATCTACAAGGGGAGCCCTGATCAGGACTCTTGATCAGGATTGATCAGGACAGAGTGAGATGCCGTGTACGCAAGAAACCAGGTTCACCCAAACACAGCCCGAGGGCAGGTGCAGCCCAAGGGGAGCACAGGTTCCCTGCGCTTTGTACTGGGTAGCGCTGGGCGGTCCTCAGGCAGAAGTGGGGAGTGTCAGGGCACCTGTCATCTTCCAGTGGGGCGATTACCCTTCCTGGTCTTTCACGTTAGTTTTCACGGGGAAGTTTTCTCATGCAAAACAACTCCTAAGAGCTCTGTCAAGAACTAAATAAATAAATAGAATGCAACCCAAACCCACTACTCTCTCCGGAGGCCAAGACAGGACAAGGGGTCTACTGCCTTTGTTGGTTTTGCCAGCACGGGCCAGACAGCAAGGCCATCGCCGGCCCTGGTGCCAGCCAGAGCCCCGTCGATGCTGCCTCCCTTGGGCTCTGAATCCGAGGCACCTGGAAGGGTTATTAGCAGGATTGGAACTCATCCCTCTGCTGGGACCGGATCATAATTACAGTAATTTTCTAACAGAGCTGGGCAGTAGGACTGTTTAATCAGCATCGACTCCCTTGTGCCCCAGCCCTCATCACTCAAGGAGAGGAGTGGGATGGCTCTTAAAGAGACAGTGCCCGCCTTTCAGCACTTTGAACAGATGTGCCCTAATTGGTAGAATATATCTAAGTCTCGTAGCTTATAGCAGGCAGGTTGCATTGCCTTCAACAAACCGCCCTGGGCTCTCACTTTTCTGGGCCTTCTGCTCAAGGGACTTGGGTCAGGCTGCTCGTGGGCCTGGCTTCCCACACCAGCTTAGCCACCAGGGGAAGTCCGCACACAGGGCTAGAGCACTTATGGAAGGATCTAAACTAGCTGGCCCTTGGTCAGAAGGAAAAGGTGCTTGGCAGAAGGACGGAAGGAGGGATGTAAGAGCCATAGATTAAGAAATTTTGGCAGGGGGCTTCCCATAATCCAAAGATTACAGAAGCGTCTCATGTTCCTGCCCTTCCAGGGGGAAAAAAACTTAAAGACTTTCAGGTAGTTTCTTAATTCTCACACTCTGGATTTCCCATGTCTCCCTACTTATTACTCCTGCCCCTTTTACTGCTGTGGAAATGCTCCCTTGTTTTTCTCCTCCTTTGCTGTTGGAGGTGGACCAGGTCTCCCCTGAATGGAAGGGAGTAAAATTATTCACTTTGCTCATGGAGTCAGGAGCATTGTCTTCTAAAAAGTGTTATCCTTTGGAGCATAAACTGTCCATTGTTTATTAGATCTTGAGATCTGAGGTTCCAGCTTTCAGCTCCAAATCTAGCCATTTCTAAAGTGGAACTGATTTTTCCCAAGAAGTTATTTCTCTAATAATATGCTAGTAGTGGCTCCTGCTGACCTGTTGGTAAGTCAAATGCATACTTGGTCTTGGTAGCAGTTCCTCAAAGAGCTGTGCAGAGAAAAGAGCTAGGGCAGGGAGTAAATGAGAAGAGGTGAGTGGGGGACCCCCAAAGTGGGGTGGGCACACCATCAGGGAAGGTAGAGTTGGGTGAGAATAGGAAACGGGGGGGGGGACGCTCATCCACAATTCAAAGAAAGGTTACTTTGAGCCAGGTGACATGCCCTCTGCAGACTGAGTCCTGCCCAGGAAGGTGGCTTAGGATCTGTGGCCAGGCGGGACTGCGGAAGTCACTGTCCCGCACCACACTGGTTATCTGCTTGGCTTCAGCAGCGTCTCCGCTGGCTGCTCATGCAGAAATCTGCAGACACCGCCCAGTCCCTGACTGAATGGCCTCCTGTGGTCTCCGTGAGGCGGGCCAGGTACCGGTCTGTTTCCATTTCTCGCTTCAACCCCATTTCACATCCTCCTGGCCCCCTGTCCTCCCCACCCCTAAGCTGTTGAGAACATACAGCAAGAGCTGAGGCATATAAACAAATTCACAGACGTGCAGCTAACTTATTGTCCCATCAGACTCTTAGAGTCATGATGACCTTCCAAGCTAAGCCACCAGAGGCGTCTAGGACTTGGTGGTGTGGATCTAAGGCCTCAGCAGTCAGAAAACCGAGGACTGCAGAGGAGCTCTGACTTCTGAGAACAACTCCGGAAAGCTGTGCAAGTGGACTTGGACATTTTTTCTTTTACTCTGAGTAGTAGTGGGTTTATTTTAGTTCAAACACCTGGTCTCCCAGAGCTTGGAAAGAACTCTCACATGAATGTACTCTCCCACCACCTAACCATATGCTTTTTAGGGGCAGCTGGCTGGCTCAATTGGTAGAGCATATGACTCTTGATCTTAGGGTTGTGAGTTTGAGCCACATGTCAGGAGTAGAGTTTACTTTTTTTCTTTTTAAATGTTTTTATTTATTTCTGAGAGAGAGAGAGTGAGTGAGCAGGGGAGGGTCAGAGAGAGAGGGAGATACAGAACCTGAAGCAGTCTCCAGACTCTGAGCTAGCTGTCAGCACAAAGCCCGACACGGGGCTCAAATCCACGAACCGTGAAATCATGATCTGAGCCGAAGTTGGACACTTTAACCGACTGAGCCACCAAGGCGCCCCTACTTTTAAAATAAATAAAAAATTTTAAATAAAAAAATAACATGCTTTAAAAAATTTTGTTTTCTTTAAGTAAGCTGTACACCTAACAGGAGGCTTGAACTCATGACCCCGAGGACAAGTTACATGCTCTTCTAGGCCAGCCAGCCACCCCATAAAAACATGCTTTTTAAAAACCATGCTCAGGTCAGTTTAGTTTCCTCAGCTAGAAAATGAGTACAGTAGTTGCCCTGCCTTCCTTACTGGACATTGAGGTCAAGTAAAATGATGCAAAGGAGACTTATTTTCATACAAGAAAACCTACCTCCTCCTACCTACACACACACCTACGCACACACCTACACACACACGTTCCAGCAGCCGGACTTGGGCCCCACACACACACACACACACACACACACCTTCCAGCAACTGGACTTGGGACACACACGGACACACACACACACACACACACACACACACACCTTCCAGCAACCGGACACACACACACCTTCCAGCAACCGGACTTGGGACACACACACACACACCTTCCAGCAACCAGACTTGGGCCGCTGCACGGGGCACCAAACCAGCCTTGAATCTAAATTTGAACACAAAATACTTAAGTTCGACAAAAGCTGAGGGATTACAGCTGGGCCAGCCCCTCTCCCCAGGGCTCTCCCTCCTCCCTACTGAGCTCACCAGACGCGGTGGCCGGCCCTTAGCACACACAGGAACAGAGTAAGACGTGAGAGGCAAATGGATGGAGAGGAAAGTTCAGTTTTGCAGTTTTCCTGGTAACTCCAGGCCTGCAACAGAAAATCTCTCCCCCCCACCATCCCTGCTTAGGACATCTCCTCCCGTGGCGTACACTCAACTGTGCGCAAGACGGTGAGGGGATGGCGTCTGGCCTTGGATTAACTGAGCTGCTGTTGTACGCACCGCTGGTAATGGATCATTAAAAAAGCCGGGAGTCAGAAAAATCGCATCCATGTCTTTGAATGGCTCCTGCTGTCCCAGCAGCCCACCCTGCTGGCGGAACTAGCTGCTGAGCACCAACTCCGGGAAGAAAAGGAGCGAACAGAAGAAGGCCAACCCAGCTTGCTGTTTTTTGGCTGAGTAGGGAATTGACACAGACCACCTCCGGCTCCTGTCTGGAAGTTTCGAGATCAGAGAGCTTCAGGCACAGCTGGGTTCACAGCTGCACCATTTGGAGCATTGGACTCATTAATATTCATGAGTCATCCCCACCAATCGGCAGAGCGGATGCCATTAGCTTAGCATCTGTCGGGTTTTTGTGAGGGTTGTGTATGGAGTTTTTTTCCCCTTTTAAATGAACTTCTTTTGACATTTTGGATTTGCCTCTGTAGGTTTTCTATCCTCGCCTTGCTCTGCTGCATCATATAAAGGAGAGGCCCAGGGGAGGCGGGCAGCAAAGAGGGATGGGTCCCAGCCAGGGCCCTGCATCTGCCTGTTGACAAACTTTATTTCTCTTTCAGCACCTGGCACGTCAGACAGGCTGCGAGGATGGAAGCGGCAGCAGGTAAATTATACCTAACGAGGCTCATGCCCACAAGTGCGAGGAGAGCGGGACCCCGGCCTCCAGAAGACGGCCCTTCCTCCAGCGGTGGCCTGGAGCCGCACACACGGTGCCGGGGAGCTGCGGCCCCCGGCTCTGAGCCGTTATTTCCACGCTGATAAATTCATGATTTATGAAAGTAACTACCGCCAGCCCTCACTCCCTCCTCCTCGGCTACAGCTTGTTAGACACGAATGGCAACAACAGTCTTAAATACTTGGAATTTTATTTCAGGCCAAAGCCCCTCAACTCTGAACTAAATGCCTTGACAGTCCCACAGCCCAGGCTGGTAGTAAAGGAGCCCGCAGACAGGGGTGGGGCGGCCGGAGGAGGAAGGGGTGGGTGAGAGGAGAGCCACACACCCACACCTAAACACCTAAGCGCCGAGCACCGCACACTGCCAGCGGCTCTCATCTCCTGCCCTACCCGCGCTGGCTCTCTGCGGAGAGGAATTATGGCAGCAGGAGGGCTGAATGCCTCATTGTCTGAAGGCGAGTCGTTCCTCATCTCCCTCCCCAGAGCCCTCTCTCCAGGCACAAACAAAGCCCTTGCGCCCCATTGGACTGAACAGACGGCCTCCCTGCCACACAGGGAGGGGCTCTGTGGAAGCTGAAGCCCCAGGGGCAGGGGGCTGTTACTAAGGGAGAAGAGAAGGATTCAAAAAAGCAAGGAGCCAGCGCCAACCCTGCAGGAAAGATAGTCACAGCTCTGCTTTATAACCAGAGGGGACAGCGACAGCTCAGGACCCAGGACAGCCTTTTCTAAAACAAAACCCCCCAAGCCGCTGCCCTTCCTCCGGCTGTGCCTGACCACTTCTCTTCGGCGGATGGCCGTGAGCTATTTCACGAGTCTCGGGTCCCACACGGGGAGACTGAGGTCTCGGGGTATGCGGGAACCCCCGGCGACAGGAATCACAGCACCGCTCCGTTCCGCGGTGTTAGGAAGGCAGGCGAGCAAGGGGAAGGTGGGAGGATCGACATTCGCCACCCGGTCCCCGGAGAGAAGGCAGGCAAGAGGCCAGCCTCCCAGAAACAGTGCTCCGAAGGGCCGCCGCAAAATCACAGCCCCTGGGAATACAACTACGCAAGCATTTCTGTTGGGTCAGTGTTCAATAGGACAGCTTAACATCTGCCACTTGCAGGTCCCCAAAACCAGTCACCTGAGGCAATGCTCCTGGGCCCATTCACAAACATCTACAGAAACTCAGCTCCCAAGGGAGTAAATATATGCCGTGTGTCTCCGGCAGAAGCAAACACCGCCGGCCTTCCTGACAGCTGTGCGGTGCTTACTCCCGTGGTGGAAGCTCGAGGAGCTGCTGCGACCCACCTCTGTGCAACCAACCTGAGCAGAGGCAACCGTAAGACACTGAGTGGCCCAATGGCCCCACACCTACCCTGTGCCCGATCCCAGCCCGGCCAGTCCCCCTGCAGCCTTGGAGCAGAACCCAGGACTCAGGCCAGAGCTCATTTTTCCAAAACCGTTTCTAACTGCCCAGGGTCCAAAGGCACAGCACGGTCCCCCGCCACAGCCCTCCTCACTGGCTGAGAAGCAGACGTTCCCTCTTCAGGTCTTGTAAAATCACAGCATGATGGCGAGGGGGAGGGCGGCAGAGGGGCGCTTTCCAAGGAAGGAGCTTCAGAGTCAACAACGGGAGCCCACACCTCGAAATGGTCCTTTTCTTCCCTGGGAGGTGGTGAGGGAGGGCTCCTCCTGCCCGATCTTGGAAGAAAGCAGCAACTGGGAAAGAATGGGAAGGGAGAAAGGAGGGCATGAACAGAGAAGCACAAATCAATGGATAAGCACAAGTGAACAAATGGTGGGACAGCCATACAAATGGAATATTATTTGGCCATAAAAAGGAATTAAGCACTGCACTCCCCTAAATACGAATGCACCTTGAAAACACAGAGTTTAGGGGTGCCGGGGTGGCTCAGCCAGTTGAGCATCCAACTTCAGCTCAGGTCATGATCTCATGGTTTATGAGTTCGAGCCCCAAGTCGGGCTCTGTGCTGACAGCTCGGGGCCTGGAGCCTGCTTCGGATTCTGTGTCTCCCCCTCTCTCTGTCCCTCCCATGATCATGCTCGGCCTCTCTCTGTCTCTCAATGATAAATAAATGTTAAAAAAAAAAAAAAAATTTTTTTTTAATGGAAAGAAAACGCAGAGTCGAAGTGGCCAGGCACAAAAGACCACGCATCAGATGACTCCACTTGTGTGAGATGTTCAGAATAGATGCAGATCCACAGATGCAGAAAGTAGACTGGTAGCCATCAGGGGTTAGGAGATGGGGAAATGGGGAGTCACTGCTAATGGGTACAAGGTTTCTTTGGGGATGATAAACACTAGGGTTCTAAAATGGACTATGGTGACTGATGGTTGCACAACTTTGTAAACAAATTAAAAACTACCGAATCATGGGGCGCCTGGGTGGCTTAGTCGGTTAAGCGTCCGACTTTCGCTTGGGTCATGATCTCGCGGTTCGTGGGTTCGAGCCCCGCGTCGGGCTCTGTGCTGACTGCCAGCTCAGAGCCTGGAGTCTTATTTCAGTCTGTGACTCCCTCTCTCTCTGACCCTCCCCTCCTCATGCTGTCTCTCTCTCTCCTAGAAATAAATAAAAAAAAAAAAAAAAAAAAAACTACCGAATCGTAACATTAAAAGGTTGAATTTTAAAATATGTAAATTGTATTTCAAAAAAGTTGTTACTTTTTTTATAAGATTTTATTTTTAAGTAATCTCTACACCCAACGTGGGGCTCGATCTCATAACCCCAAGATCAAGAGTCACACGCTCCACCGACTGAGCCAGCTGGGTGCCCCAAAATTGTTACTTTCACAGGGTGGGAAGGGGGCACCTGGATGACTCAGCCAGTTGAGTGTCTGAATTCAGCTCAGGTTATGATCTCGCGGTTTGGGAGTTCAAGCCCCACATTGGGCTTGCTGCTGTCAGCTCAGGGCCCGCTTCGGGTCCTCTGTTCCCTACCCCCCCGCCCCTCCTCTGTTCATGCTCTGTCTCAAAAATAAAATAAACATTTAAAAATTAATTAATTAATTACATAAAATGTCAGGGAGAGAAATAAAGAGAATAAGAATGTCTTCTCTTCTTTTCCCCAAGTTTCAATAGGACAGCCTGCTACCCAGGGACGAGTCAGCCCAGAAGTTCAGACTCTGGCCCATGAGACGAAGACAACCACGCACTAGGGGAACAAGGCCTCTTCTGAAAGGCTACCAACGCTGTGACAGTACTCTCTCTATCAAATGGACACCTCACTGGCCCAGGCTAAAGAAGTCCTAGCCCTTGGTGCCTCTGAAATGAGAGCTCCAGTTACCTCTTTGGCTGGTCTCCTTTAGCCAAGTGAGAAGAACCCCGCCTCTCCTCCTGGACCCAGCCACAGTTTGACATAGCGTAGTGAAGAATGGCGTCAGAAACGGTCATGGGGCTTCGGCCCTGGACACAGGCTTCGATCTCGGGCACCGAGAGCTGGCTTTGCAGGAAGAGGTGTAGCTGGCTGTCCGACAGGAGAACCACACTCTGCAGGACCCTGGGGAAAACACGGGACGTACAACACAGCATCACCCCAAGTAGCTGCTCTCCCCAGCCCCATTTGTTGACGGGCTTCTGGGAGCACTGAAGGCATGGGGGCGCGAGAAAGGCACCTACCACACACGTGCCTATCTGTTCAAAGGCAGCCCGTGCTGCCTGGCACCCTCCCCCTCCCCGCCCGCACCTCAGGTGGCAGGTGCTAGCCCGCCACATGCACTCACTTTTCCAGGAAGTGCTGCAGACCTTGCCGGCGCTTCTCGATGAACTCATCTGAGCTGCCAAAGAAGGTTGACTTCCCAGGAAGTTCAGGTACAGGGCTGTGGGGCCACATAATGCAACACTCAAGGTAAGTGTAACATTAAAGACAGTCATTCCACCCCCTGCTCATGGAAACCCTCTAAAAAGAAGCACAAATCAATACAAATTGCTTTTATTTTTTATTTTTTTTTAATTTCTAGGAGAGAGAGAGACAGCGTGAGCAGGGGAGGGTCAGAGAGAGAGGGAGACACAGACTCTGAAATAGGCTCCAGGCTCTGAGCTGGCAGTCCGCACAGAGGCCAACGCGGGGCTCGAACCCACGAACCGTGAGATCATGACCTAAGCGAAAGTCGGATGCTTAACCGACTAAGCCACCCAGGCGCCCCACAAATAGCTTTTAATAAGGTGGGGGGGAGGGCAAGGCTAATACTGACTGCAAGCCATCCATGTGTCAGGCACCATGCTAAATGTTTTACAAACTTTATTTCACTACTCCTCCCAAAATCCTCATGAAAAACTATTAATGTCCCCAGTTCAGTAGTAAGGAAAGAGAATCAGAGAAGTTACGTAAATTTCCCATAACTGTGTAAATATCACACAGTTAGTAACCAGCAGGGGTGGTATTTGCACCACATCTATGCCTTCAAAACTTCACTGCCGCTATACTACATTGTTTACAAAACCCACTCCCACCATCAGCTGGTTTTTTTGTTCTAAGTGTATTATGTATTTTAAGAGAGAGGCAGAGAGAGAGGGAGAGAGAGAATCCCAAGCAGACTCTGCACTGGAAGCACAGAGACCGACACAGGACTCGAACCCAAGAACCGAGCGATCATGACCTAAGCCGAAACCAAGAGCCAGACACTTAACCGACTGAGCCATCCAGGTGCCCCTGTCAGCTCGTAGTTTAAAAAGGAAGAAATGTGGGGCACTGGGTGGCTCAGTCGGTTAAGTGTCTAACTTCGGCTCAGGTTATGATCTCACAGTTCGTGAGCTCGAGGCACACAAAAGCCTGCTTCTTCAGATCCTTGTCCCTCTCTTTCTGCCCTTCCCCCGCTCGTGCTGTCACTCTCTCTCAAAAATAAGAAATTTTTAAAAATGAATAAATAAATAAGAAGAAACTTGGACACACAGATGCAGAGCATGCTGAGTCCCTGCATGTACATTAAGACTACCTCCTCCACTCCAAGCAGGTCACATGCTTAGAATTTTCTAAAGTAGTTGAGTTGTAGCAAGGCATCCACAAACTCTTTAAACCTCCCCAGCTTCTATTATGAACATATTTTTTTTAAAAAAAAACAACAGGCCAGGGGCGCCTGGGTGGCTCAGTAGGGTAAGCATCTGACTTTGGCTCAGGTCATGATCTCACAGCTTGAGTTCGAGTTCCGCATCCGGCTCTGTGCTGACAGCTCAGAGCCTGGAGCCTTTTTCAGATTCTGTGTCTCCCTCTCCCTCTGCCCCTCCCCCCGCTCATGAGCACGCACGTGCTCTCTCTCAAAAACAGACATCAAAACAACAACAACAATAGGCCAGGCAAAGGGATGCAGGATCTGTCAGAGGAAATCCCAACTGGCTCCGAGGACCTGACCCACGACAGCGGCTTCACCAGTCCCACATGTTAACTAACTGGCTAGAGCACCCACAGGCCACCTGTCCCCAAGGCACTCAGTGGCTACCCTGCAGTGAAATCACTGTTCTAAATCATCTCCAGTTTTAGGACTTCTTTGGGATCGCATAAGTGAGGAGTGAAGAATACTACTTTCCCTAAGGCTCTCAGTCTGTTGTGTCTCTAGGAAAATTTCTCTGCACAAAAAAGAAAGTATTAAGATTTTTACAGGTCAAGTGGACAGGAACACCACTGGTCACGTTGAGTCCAGGTGCTAACAGGCTTCTGGTAACTAGTGATAGGCACATATAAAATGCTAGCAGTACATTTGTTGAGCCCTGGCTGAATATCCATAGAAAAAAAAAAAAGAAAAATATTTTTGATAGTTTGTATGACTTTGTTAGGTCAAAATACTAGAAAACAAGAACTCTGTCTTTCTTTTTTCCACTGACTTGAAAACATAATTTAAGAACACGGTTCTCCATTTCCTAAGTGCCTGATATGTAGCCAAGTGTTTTTTTTATTGTAAACTCTGGTTCTCACATAAGCACCCGTCTCAGAGCCAAGAAAGCAGCAGAAGCAGACTCACACTAAACCGGCATTTCTCTGTAGCTGCTTTCTCAACCATACGAACTCACGGTAGCGGCGACGCACACAGGACGTCTTGGCAGTAAAGGCCTTGCTGTTGGTCTACAGGAAGAAGTACATGAAAAAGAAAAAAAAACAAAAAACAAGTAGAAAAAGACCAAGTGTACGTGAACTTCCCGTGGTCCCTCTCACGGAGGATCCAAGGCATCAGGCCACAGTCCTGATCAGGGGTTCCCAATAGAGCGAGGCGCCACTAGGCAGCCCGAAAGCAACTCACGCAGATCTCAAGCTCATTCCCCTCCTCCCTCCTCTTCTTCTGTCTCCAGACTCTCAAAATCCCCACCAACAGGTTCTGCCTTAGCACGAACCCTCAGCCCTGGAGAGCGCTGACCCCAGTGCAGAAGTCCGATGCACTTACATGGAGAAATATCTTATAATCCACATAAGAATTCCAGGAGCCCTCATTCTGCACGCGGGGGTCCTGAACACGCACGGTGATCACCTCCTGGAGGTAAGAAAGGCTCCTTCAGCTTCAGCTCGGCCACACCGTAAGGCAACTTTGACAACACAGGGGGCCAGATTTTTCCAGTCAGCACCACCTTTCATTCATTTATTCATTCAATCCAACAAGTATTTACTGACCATCCACTCTGTGTCGGAAGCTGCTCTAAGGCACCGGGGCCGAACGTGAACAAGAGACAAAAATTCTGGCCCGCGTGAATGTGACATCCAAGTACATTCCAGCGAATGGAAAAGGTCAAAATGGAGCCTCACTTCCCAGTATGGCTTTGCTCCGCAGTTCCTTCCACTGCCTTTATTTTGAGCTCATCTGAACCCCTGACGTATTACTGCCAGCGGAATACCAGGGAGCAACGATTTGCCTCTTTTCCCAAATCCCATCAAACTTGGACCCACCTGTTTCCTGAAGACCACACGCTTACCTCCTGCTCCTGGTTTTCCAACATCCTACACCAAACGCCCATTGGAAGAAAACATCTGACCAGGGACAGAAGGCAGGGGAACAATCATGGTTAGTATGCCTCTGCTCCTGTCACTCGACACCAAGGCAAAACCCTGAACATTCTTACTTACCCCTGGGAAAACCCCCAGGTAACTTTTTTGGTTCTAGTGTGAAACGTAAGAGGAAGCAAAAAAACTCCCCCACGTTAGCTTGGTGCCAAGCTGAAAACCCCGGATGATTTGACTCCCTTCTCAGACCACTGCCAGGACCCCTCGCTAGGCCACCTCTAGCCAAAGCATGGCTGGGTCTGTGCAGTGTTCACCCCCAGCAGCCAGAAAAGGCAAGTTCAGATGTAAAACCTCTGCTTGAGGACTGCAGGTGAAGGCAGTGTCTGGCGGCACGCACAACACACCCCTGCAAGCGAGCCTAACACTGCCCCCTCCTGGCGGCTTAGCGACAACCACACCCCACAAACACCAAGGCTTTTCAAAGTCTCTCTTTGTCTTGCTGACCGTATGGTGACCCACCTGGGGGTAAATCATAGAGCTGGAGAGCTCCGGGCGCACCTGAGTGGGCTGCCCAGTTGCAACCTTCCTTTCTCTAATCTGTTCTCCAGAAGCCAAGCCAATGGTTCCAATCATTTCCTCTCTCGACATGCTATCCGGTTGTACCTCTGCCCAAGCACCCCACAGCTGCACAGGTCAGCTGGGGATGCTTTCCGCTCCTTTGTAAAGATTCATTAAAGTCTGAGCCCCTGATTTCCCCCAATGTGGCAGTTTACGTGTGCAGCGACATCGCCCACTCCGACAAGGGGACCATGAAGCCTACAGCACAGGGTTACTCAAGTCCAAAGGGGCCCATGATGTCACCTTCTGTTAAAATACAGCACTAATCTTGTTACTCCTAGAACCACTCCAACAGCATCCACCCTGGCTGCTGCCTCCACCCCCTTCTCCTCTCTTAAGAGCCGAACAATAAGGTTTAATTTCCCTTTCCAATTTACCTTGAAATGAAAACTGACTTCAGCCAATATGTACTGCCAACAAATGGTCCAGGCTGGCTCCTGGGAAAACAAGACTATCTCTAAGCTCCCCCTCTCCCATCCTCCATGCTCATTCACACACCCACTCATTTTTACAGTCCTACAATTAATTTTAAACACATTCTCTTATTAGTTCTGCTTTACCATTAGAAGAGCGTGTAATGAGTTTCCTTGTATTTTATGTTTTGCTAACACAAGGCTAACGTTTCAAGAGAAGGGGAGCTCATTTACGCCACAAAATGAGCAGCGCAAACAACTTTCCCCAGTTCTTTCCAGTATACCAGATCTCTCCACACTAACCACTGCACACAGAGACAAAACTGCATGTGGTATATACATTACAGGATTGGGCGACCCTGTTGAGCAAACCAGAGTTTTGTGTGACTGTAACACCATCTTCGTATTCCTGCCGACAGCCTGATTTTCCATCTGATGCAGTCACCACCACAAAGGGGTCCTGGACTGGAAGGAAATTCCAATTCCATAACACCCAGGGTGTAACACCTCCAATATAAGCAGTCACATGCCTGTGGCCCAAAAGAACAGGCCGACTGGCCGTGAACAGGTAACCACCTCAGATTTTAAAAAAAAGAAAAGTAGGGGCGCCTGAGTGGCTTAGTCGGTTAAGCGTCCGACTTTCGCCTAGGTCATGATCTCGCAGTTCGTGGGTTCGAGCCCCGCGTCGGGCTCTGTGCTGACTTCCAGCTCAGAGCCTGGAGCCTGTTTCAGAGTCTGTGTCTCCCTCTCTCTCTGACCCTCCCCTGCTCACACTGTCTCTCTCTCTCTCCTAGAAATAAATAAAAATATTAAAAAAAAAAAAAGAAAAGTAAAATTTTCTCTTCTCCTTTCAGGCATTTGGCAGATTGCCAGCACAGAAGCCAAGGGTTCAGTAGTCTGAAGGGTCTTTTTCACAAAAGTAACGACGGGAAAGATGAGGACAAGGAACCTTAGTCATCCACACACTCCATGGGGCTCACGCCTCTCCTGGGACTTGAAAGGTTTGCCAAATCCAGCACCATAATTTAGTAATTGAATGGTCATCAGTCTGAGGCTCAAAAAGAGTTTGTAGAGGGCCCTGCACCACTTCCAAGTGCAAGTTCCTCCCCTTTCCTTGGGGGCTCAAACCACTTAGAAACAGCTATAAACTCGATTAAAAAAAAAAAAAAAAAACCTAGCGCCCCTAAGATGCTGTCTACTTAAATCTAAGTTTAAAGGGCACTGACAAAGTCTCAATTGTAACTTGCCCTTAAGACCACTAGACACTGGAACAAATACAAAAACCTGGACTCCAAACAATAATTTCTAGCAACTACTATTCTCCATCAGCTTCCTCCGCATAGATGCCACTCCTCACACGGAAATGCTCAGTTCTGCCTGTGAAGGGGAAGGAGGAAGTTCTTAATTTTGGCTCGCGATCTGGGAGATGGATCCAGGTCATATAAATAAGGGCAAGTCAGAGATCCTCTCAGCTCCCTTCGCATGGCACTCAGCACTAACTGCATTTCCTGGGTCCTTTTGGCCACATCCAAAGCTTCCTTTTCTTCCTCCATTTGTACCAGCATCAGTGTCTCTGGGAAGAACCCAGTTGTTTGCTTTATACAAAGCAGATTCCTTGTAAAGCTTTCCAGTTGCCTCACAATTCAAGGCAGCAATTCAAGGCTTTCCCACCATTTTCACCCCCATTTAAACTACTTCAAAAAAGAGGTTAAAAACAAATGAGGTCCGAGGGACGCCTTAATCAGTAGGTTAAGCATCTGACTCGTGATTGCAGTTCAGGTCATGATCTCATGATCGCTGAGATCAAACCAGGCGTCTGGCTCTGCGCTGATCCCAAGACCCTGCTTAAGATTCTCTCTCTCTCTCTCTCTCAAAATAAGTGAGTAAACGTTTATTTTAAATCAGGTGATAAAAGTGTATTGAGCCACCAAGACTCCTATCCCTTCTTACTCAGTCTTGAGCCCTAGATTCGCAACCAAGCAGCTTCACTCCAGCCTTCTATTTGTGATCTGCCACTCCTTACACGTGGAAGGCAAATCACAACAGCGACCACAATCTAGCAGGAACCGCCTCTCTCCCCGCAAAATATGTCACTACTCCTACCCCTAGCCGTTTGGGTGAATGTCCCCAAACTTTTACTCTGACCACTCCCCCTCCATCCTTAACGAACTAGGAGCGAAAGGACCCCATGACCCTTCTTCTCCTTTGACTATTAAGCTTGGGGAGTGGAAACGAAAGATGCTCTCTACTTGGAAAACAAATGAAAAAGCCGGGCTTCCTCCCTTGGATCCGGAGCAAGCCCCCGCCTTCAGCCCGGGACGTGAGACAGCCTCTTCCCTAAGAGGTCAAGCGAGAACCCCACCCCCAAGCGCCACTCTGGACGCTCCAGCCTCACCGGAGAGCAGCACTCTCTTCCCGCGACCCCGCCCACGACCCCTCACCTGAGAGCAGCACCCACTCCCCGCAGCGACACCGCCGACGCCGCACCATAGAGCCTGAGTCTCGGCTTCTCCTTCCGGGTGAGTGGCCGGCGCCCCGGTGCACGACGGGAGAAGGCTCCGGGCATGCCAATCCCGGGTGCCCAGGACGCCCCGCCCCTGCAGGCCCGAGCGCCCGCTGGAGATTCCCACGCGGGAGGCGGCGCGCTCGCCCCGCCCCGGCCCCGGCCCGAGTCCCGGTCCCCTGAGACTCCCTCGGGACAGTGGCGGGTGGACGCGGGTGAGGAGCGGTGTCTGGGCACTGACCGCCTGTCCAGAGCCGTGTCCCGCCCGTCGTTGTCAGCCGCAGCCAATCAGCGGCCAGGGAGCCTCCTTCAGGGTCCGAAAGAGGGCCCCGGGACGTTGTCGGTCTTCGTTTCGGTCCGGCCGTGGGCCATCTGCAGTGTGGGAGGGTCGGGGAAGAAAACGCCCACATTCCTGGAATGTCTCGAAGTCTCGAGAGTTTCCCCATTTGAGCCCGCTGGGTTGCAGTTCCCCCGCGGAGTTACCGCGGGCGGGTCAACTCCCTGGCGAACTCACATTGGTAAAACCACGGATCCTCAGAGCGAAAAGCGAACGGAGATGGCCCAGCGAACACCTGTTTCTCTCGCGAAGCAAGCGCAAGGAAGAATCGGACAGCTAGTTAGTAAAAACAGAAAATACGTTGGATACGATGGCTTTTTTTTTTTATGTTGTTGAAACGTCTTTTCACAACCTGTTTAAAGGTAATTTTTGCAAAGATAATAATGTCAAGGAAAAAGTTAGGGTCACAAAATGCAAGCTCTGGAGTTAGACGGCTTTGGTACAATACCCAGCACTACGCTGGACTGTGGGGTTTTAACCTGATGCTAAATCTTTATAAATCTTAGTTTCCTCATCTGTAGAATGGAGGTTATTGCAAACCTCAGAGAAGCTTTTCTCAAACTTTTTGGTCTCAGGATCCCTTTACATGTTAAGTAAATTATACGCCCAACGTGGGCTCAAACTCATGACCCCAAGATCAAGAGTCACATGCCCTGAGGACTGAACCAGCCAAGAGCCCCAACATTCTTAAAAATGATTAAGAGAGGGGCGACTGGGTGGCTCAGTCGGTTAAGCGTCCGACTTCGGCTCAGGTCATGATCTCGCGGTTTGTGGGTTCGAGCCCGGTGTCGAGCTCTGTGCTGGCAGCTAGCTCAGAGCCTGGAGCCTGTTTCGGATTCTGTGTCTCCCTCTCTCTCTGACCCTCCCCTGCTCATGCTGTCTCTCTCTCTCAGAAATAAATTTAAAAAATTTTTTAATTGATTAAGAGCATTTGTTTATGTGGGATATTCACTATATTAGAAATTAAAATTGAGAAATTAAAAAACATGTATTAAGCCACCTAAAATGATAATAAACCAGTAGATGTTAATGTTTTACGAAATATAACTACAGTTTCCAAAAAACATTAGCAGAGTGGCATTGCATTACAATTTTGCAAATCTCTTTAACGTCTGGTGTTTGGCATAATAGAAGACAGCTGGATTCCCATATTTCCTCCCCATTTTCTCTGATTTGCTATGTTATTTTGGTCTAGGAAATGAAGAAACTCCAGTCTCACACAGATAAATAGTTAGAAAAGGAAGGACTATTTTTAGCATTCTCCAATAACTGTGGATACTAGCGAAACTCCACAAACGGCAATTTCTTAAAGATTAATTACAACGGGGAATCTGAAACCACTTAGAAAATATTGGTTTACCGAATTATGCAGATCATCCAAATATTGATGCATTTCACTATTCAGCATTAAAAAAATCACATTCATTATAATCATCATTGATCTTATCTGGAAAATCTGGGAAAGCTGCAAGCTCACTTTGATGGATACCAAAGACCTTTTCCAAAATTAGTTTTTTTTCTTGAAAGCTCAAATTTTATCATTGACAAAAAGTACTTTAAGTTATTTTTCCTTCATGTGCCAGGCTCATTCCATTCAAATATTCAAGTCTGAATAACCAACCATAGTTACCCTATGATCCCCATAGTTCATTCTTTCAAACAAAACTTGTGTTCCAAAGTACACAGCCATACCATCCTGAACACTCCCGATCTCAGAAACTAAGCAGGGTCAGCCCTGGTTAGTACTTCGATGAGAAAAATGGTGTTCTTTTTTGGGGGGAGGGGAGCTCATTCAGTTCACACATTTCAATCACACAACCCTATACTTCAGTAAGCGGCAGAAGGGCTTTATATACAACCCCCATCTCATTACGCAGAACATCGAAAAGATATATACTCCAGAAGAGAGATTTCGCAAAATTAATAATTTGTACTGCTTCCTAGTCTTAAGTGAAAGTGGTTTTTCTCCTTTTAAGATTTGTAAGTAAACTCTACACCCAACAGGGGGCTCAAACTTACAACGCTGGGATCAAGAGTCTCTTGATCAAGTAGTCTGCTCTACTGAGTGAGCCAGAGTAAGCCAGCCAGGCACCCTGAAAGTGGCTTTTTTTTTTTCTTTTTGAAAGTGGCTTCTTAATACTTTTGTTGCCTACACGTGACGGCGGAATACCATGACTCTAGCGTCTTGATTCACAGGCGGTGCCTACGGTTTCACCTGTTGTTGCCTTTGCACCATTAGTGAAAATGTAAACACAGTGAAAACGCATCTCATGTCTTCTTATTATCATGAAAATAGTTCTGATCTTGCAGACTCGCTGTAACTCACTTAGGCATTCCCAGAGTCTGTGGACTACACTTGGAGAACCACCGAGCAAAACCGCAGAATGTGTCCATTCATTCATCAAATATTTATTGAGCCCTTTCTGAGGGCCTGGACACCGCTGTAGGCATTACAATAAAGCAGGGAGCCAAACAGGAAAACACCCTGACCTCCTGCAACTTGTAAGTAACACGAGGGTTTAGCATCATTACCTCATACTTTACTCAACAGATGTTTTTATTTTTTCATTTTATTTTTTAAAATGTGTTTATTTTAAGAGAGAGAGAGAGAGAAAACGCGCACGTGTCTCGTGTATAGGGGAGGGGCAGAGAGAGGGAGAGAGAATCCCAAGCAGGCTCCTCATGCTGTCAGCACTGAGCCCAACTCGGGGCTCAGATACACAAACTGTGAAATCACGACCTGAGCCAAAACCAAGAGTCGGACACTTAACCGACTGAACCACCCCAGCGTCCCTCAATAAATGTTTTTAAATAGATTTATTAAACAATTTGAATGTAATAAGTTTTCATTAGTCAGTGCCATATCTTATTTTTTATTGATCTTATTTTTTCAACCGTAATTTCTAACAGTTGACAATGGGACCGATCTTTATGATACCTGAAATTCGAGTACTTCTCCAGGTAGTTAGCACTTTGCATGAGAAAATCAATCAATGTCAGGGCTATAGGTAGATGATTTGAGAAGCGTAGAGTTTACTTAGAGTCCAGTAACTACCAGGAAGTCACGTGAGAATCAAACTAACCAGGGGAGATAAGAAGGACAGATAGCTCTTAAGTATATTTGCCTTTTAAAAGAAAGTGCTTGTTAACCCCAAATGAATAAATCTTTAACAACAGAATTTTAAGTAGTGGTTAAAATGAAACAAAGAATCTCATACGCATAGGAGATGACTACTATCAAAGAAACTAAAAAGACAAGTATTGTGGGGATGTGGACAAATTGGAGCCTTTGTGCACTGTTGGAGAGAAAGTAAAATAGTACAGCCACTGTGGAAAAGTTTGGCAGTTCCTCAGAAAATTAAAAACATACGATCCAGGAATTCCACTTCTGGAATTGAAAAAGTGTTAAACAAACAAGCAAAAAAACAGACCCAAAATGGAGTCACTTGTGCTAAACACTATTCAACAAACCATGACTTAAAATCTAACCTAATTACTGTTTCAGCCCCTCCCAGGAATGTAATCTTAACTGTTCAGTCTAGTGAGGTAACCTTGTCAGCACCAGTGAGGTAATCTGCCTGAAAGACCCTTCCATCTCTCAAAGAAAGATAAGGTAATATAATTTTTCCTGGTCCCTGCCCCCTTCTATCTATAAAAGCTTTCCATTTTGGGTCACCTGGCTGGCTCAGTCAGTAGAGCATGTGACTCTTTATCTCAGGATTGTGAGTTGGAGCCCCATGTTGGGCATAGAGACTTTCAAAAAAAGAAGCCTTCCAGGGTCGCCTGGGTGGCTCAGTCGGTTGGGAGTTGGACTTCAGCTCAGGTCAAGATCTCACGGGTTTGTGAGTTTAAGCCCTACGCCAGGCCCTGTGCTGACAGCTCAGAGCCTGGAGTCCGCCTGGGTGGCTCAGTCGGTCAAGCATCCGACTTCACCGCTCAGGTCGTGATCTCACAGGTCGTGGGTTCGAGCCCCGCATGGGGCTCTGTGCTGACAACTAGCTCAGAGCCTGGAGCCTGTTTCAGATTCTGTATCTCCCTCTCTCTCTGATCCTTCCCTGCTCATGCTGTCATGCTGTCTCTCTCTCTCTCTCTCTCTCTCAGAAATAAATAAAACATTAAAAAATTTTTTAATTAAAAAAAGATTTTTAAGCCTCTCATTTTTGTATGCTCAGAGCGCCTTTATATATACTGGATGGGATGCTGCCCAATTAATAATCATTGGATAAAGCCAAGTTAATCTTTAAATTTTCTTAGTTGAATTTTGTCTTTTAACAAAATTTTGTCTTTTAACAAAATTCCAAAAGAATTGAAAGCAGGATCTCAAAAAGCTGTTTGTATGCCATGCTCAGAGCGGTATTATTTATAAAAGCTAAAATGTGGAAGTAACCCAAAGAGCCAATGATAAGACGAATGGATTAGCAGAATGTGATATATACATACATTTGGATATTCTTCATCCAAAAAAAACGGGGGGTTCTGACATATGCTGCAGCATTTAAACCTTGAGAACATTACACTAAATGAAATAAGCCAGTCACAAAAAGAAAAATACCATGTGATTCCACTTTCATGAGATTCTTAGAGTAGTCCAAACCTTAGAAAGTAGAATAATGGGTGCCAGAGGCTAGGGAGAGGAGGAATGGTGAGTTTTTGTTTAATGGGTATAGAGTTTAGTTTTAAATGATGGTTGCACTGCATTATGAATGCATTTAATACCACTCAACTGTCCACTTAAAAATGGTTAAGATGGTGGAGGGGCGCCTGGTTGGCTTAGAAGGCTGTGCATTGGACTCTTGATTTAGGCTCAGGTCATGATCCCGGGGCTGTAGGATCGAGCCCCACCTCCGACTCTGTGCTGAGTGTGGAGCCTACTTGAGCTTCTCTCGCTCTCCCTCTGTCCCTCTCCCCCACTTGCACTCTCTCTAAAATTCAAAAATAAAGTTAATGGTTAAGATGGTAAATTTTACGTAATGCATATTTTAGCGTCACTTTAAAAATTGGGGGGGGAATTGAAATAAAGAATTTCAGACAATGGGGAAGAAAATATTTCAAAAGCTCTGTACTTCCCCCACTCCTTAAATCACATGAGAAGCAACTATCTGCAGTACCTAAAATAGCTACTGTTTATTAGTGCCAGTGTATGGCATCCCCTTTATCCATTACGGTCCCTCCCACAGAAATGCTGCAAGGTAGGTCTGAGGTCATGTTGCCATGTTTCAGAGTTTTCTGTTGGCCGAGGCTCAGAGAAGTTGAGCTTGTTCAAAGTTACACAGCAGGCAAAAAGTAGAGACAGAATTAAGTCCAGTTCAGCCCGATTCCAAGTCCTTGTTCTTTTTTGCAGCATCAAACTTCCTCTCTTCCCCACATTCCTTGAGATTTTAGGAACTTCATGTGAGAGACACATTTCCTGTGGGCATGAGCAATGTGACTTCAGATGTTGTCTTGAGCAAGATTATTATGACCGAGTTGCTGTTACCCTTAAAAGGAAAAGAAACTCTCAGGGTCTGAATACCTTAAAATGCCACCATTCTTATGGGAAGAGAAAAGAATTACACCCATTTGATCCTAAAAGATTGTCAAAAAAGATACTGTTATGTAGAGGCTTGAGAGTTTGACATTCATCCCTTGCAGAAGTTCAGAATAGATTCCTAATGAGAGCTCTGAATTGACGGCAGAGTAGCATAAACCAGTAGTGCTCTGCTACCTAAAAAGAAAAGGTACCTTTGACTTTAAAAAAATTTTTTTTTGTTTTATTTATTTTTGAGACAGAGCACGAGTGGAGGAGGGGCAGAGAGAGAGAAGGAGACACAGAATCTGAAAGAGGCTCCAGGCTCTGAGCTGCCAGCACAGAACCCGATGCGGGGCTCAAACCCACAAACCGTGTGATCGTGACCTGAGCCGAAGTCAGACGCTTAACCGACTGAGCCACCAGGCACCCCAAAATATCTTTGACTCTCTTAATTCAAGAATGGTGTAGAACATCTATGCAGTGATGACTCCCCCTATTTTCAAATACCCACACAAAGAGCCAGAATTTAATAACAAACTAGATACGGTAGACCCAAAATTGTTTTCCTTTGATGTATGGATTAAGAAAATGGTGATATTTAGCCTGGAAAAGTAAAACCTTGGGGGGAACATAAAGGCTGAATTTCAATACTAGAAGGAGTATGAAAGAGGAATTAGGTTTACAGAACAAAACTGTGTGTAGCCACACACCCAGAACTAGGTGGGATTTTTATGTGCAAGCAGACTTCAGCTCAATATGAGGAATTGGGGATGGCGGCGTTTCATGTGGACAGAATTATAGTTTGGGAGTTAGAGGTGACATCAAACTGCAATTCCACCACTTTCTTGATGAATACCATTGGTAGGATTATACAACCTCTGAGCCTTTTCTGTGAACCGGGACTAGTAATTCCCACCTCCCGGCATGGTTTAGGATTACATAACATTAATCAAGACCTTAACAGGGGCTCCTGGGTGGCTTAGTCAGTTAAGCATCCGACTTTCGCTTAGGTCATGATCTCGCAATTTGTGGGTTCGAGCCCCACATCAGGCTCTGTGCTGACTGCCAGCCTGGAGCCTGTTTCAGAGTCTGTCACTCCCTCTCTCTCTGACCCTTCCCTGCTCACGCTGTCTCTCTCTCTCTCTCTCCTAGAAATAAATAAAACATTAAAAAAATTTTTTTTTAAATAAAAAAAAATCAAGACCTTAACAGAATTCCTAGTGCTGGGGTAAGCACTCAATAATAATAGCTTGTATAATGGGGCGCCTGGGTGGCTTAGTCGGTTAAGCGTCCGACTTTCGCTTAGGTCATGATCTCGCGGTTCGTGGGTTCGAGCCCTGCGTCGGGCTCTGTGCTGACTGCCAGCTCAGAGCCTGGAGCCTGTTTCAGTCTGTGACTCCCTCTCTCTCTGACCCTTCCCTGCTCACGCTGTCTCTCTCTCTCTCTTAGAAATAAATAAAAATATTAAAAAAAAATAATAATAGCTTGTATTATTAGAATTGATTTTCTCATCATTAAAGTGATTAAAAACAGGACACTTTAGGAGGGAGGGAGTAGCTGAATTTTTGCCTCTTCATGGACACCCAACCCAGATGTCTCAGGAAGAATTGCCCTCTTCTTTGTGCTCTCACAGCTGTTTTAGCAAAAATATTATGATATTGTTGAGCTGGGTTTCTTACATGACAATTCTCAAGAGCCCTGCACAGTGCCTGGCTCAGCAAAACCGTTACATACATATAGACTCCTGCATTCTGAGACCGAGTACAGGAGACTGGTTGCCTTTCCTCTTTACCTTATTTGTATAGTCAAAGTAAGGAAGAAAAAAAAGTCATCTTGTGGTAGTTTTTTTTTTTTTAATGTTTTACTTATTTTTGAGAGAGAGAGATAGAGACAGCATGAGCAGGGGAGGGTCAGAGAGAGAGGGAGACACAGAATCCAAAGACAGGCTCCAGGCTCTGAGCTAGCTGTTAGTAGAGCCCAACGTGGGGCTCGAACCCCCGAACTGTGTCGCACGCTCAGTCGACTGAGCCACCCAGGCGCCCCAATGGTAGTTCCATTTAGTTCCTGATTTGATTGGGAAAAGAGAGAACAAAAGAGTTAAAAAAAAAACAAAAAACCAAACCGCACAAATCTGATGTGAAGAAAAGAGATGAAGGAGAGGTTGATCACCTCCACTTCTGTCAGAACACTTCATTAATTCACTTAATCATTTATTCAACAACTATTGCTTGACAACTGTATGCCAGGGACTGTACTGGGCACTGAGTAGAGAGTGGTGAGCAACAGGAGGCAAGGTTTCTGCCCTTACAGGAATTTAGAAAATGTGAGACAGACATTAACTAATGACAATAAAGGGGGTAAATGTTATGAGACTGAATTTGCATAAGAACAGAGTTGGGGACAGGGATGTAGTTGTAATCAGAACTAAACAGTGTCTCGAAGGAGAATAAGTGTGGTTTTTGCCCGTCTCTGTGTTTTGGGGGGTGGCTGGGTGCGGAGTGCTCTTGGAGCTAAGGGGTACTGCGCTAGGGCTCTGGCTTGGCGCAGCCAGGGAGAAAGAGAAGTTCAGGAGGCCCGAATGTCAACTACCCGGGGGACCTAACCTAGTCTAAAGGGTCAGGCAAGACTTCGAAGGGGAAGTAATCTAAACACTGACCAGTAGGAGCCTTACAGAGATTTGAGGCAGAAGTTGAGGATTACAGAGATTATTGGCGATCTGATAAAGGTCTGGTGAGACACCTGTTTAGATTTAAAAATTTCGAGCATGTGAACTACTGTCCAGAAGTGGTTACTTTTCGTACCAAGCATCATGGGGCTCGCTCGTAAAACCACACGCTCTAATTCCCTAGGCTGCAACGTTCTCAACTAGAGTCGCTCGGGCGCTCGTTGCTAAAATCTAAAAACTCCCCGAACCCCGCGCAAACTCCGCGGGGCGGTGTAGGACGCGCGCGGCATTTTGGGTCTTGTAGTCTGGGCTGGACTCCAAGTCCCAGAGTACTGTGCGGAGGGTCGTTGCTCCTGCGCAGTGCGGGCGGCGGGTAGCGCCGAGTGCGAGGCTCTTTTGTTCGTCTGAGGGGAGGGCCGTTGGCCGGGGCCTGCGGTACGCCGCTTCAGTGAGGGGCTCGACTACGGCCACCGGCCTGTTGCTTTTCTGGGCGCCACTCCCCCCGCCGGCCCGACGCGACGCGCCATTAGCGCGGCACCAATTCTTCTCGGGCTCTTGGGCGCTGCTCTGAGGTGAAGAGCCCGCTAAAGGAGGGGAAACGGGGGGGGGGAGGTGCGCGGCGGCAGCGGCGGCGGCAGCGGCGGCGGGAGCTCTGGGTGAGGGGCCGCGCTCTTGCGGCCGAGCTTGGGAGCGGGGAACGCGCCAGGTCCCGAGCCTTTCCCGCGCGGAGCTCTCCGCCGGGTGCAGGGGGGTCGGGCGCCGAGCGCGAGAAGGATGGAGAGGGCGGGGCGGGCGGCGTATCCTGAGCGGGAGATAGAAGCGATTCGGGGTGGGCCGAGCACTGGCGGGGCTCTCCTCAGGGCCTGGGTGGACCAAGACAATGCTACGTGGTCAGGTGGGCGGCTGCTGGATTGGGCCGGGGAGGAAACACTGGAGTAAATTGGGAGGGGGGCCCGGCCGGGCAGCCTTGATGCTTGGACGTGAGCGGAGAGGGTTGACGGCTGCGAGACCATCGGTTTCGAACGCAACCTGGGCATACTGGGTCCGGCTGGGGCAGCCAGAGCAATTTCGCTCGCGGGGCTAAGAAGTAACTTCGAGGAAACGGCAGAGGGGGCTGGGCGGCCCACGGTGTGCTCTCCTTGGGGAGATCCTCTGCGGGATAACCTGGAGTGGGGGCTAGGAGAGGGAGGAGCAGGGATATGCCAGGCTGGGATCTGGAAGGGGAGGAGCTGTGAGGGTAAGTAGGGCGGAGGCCCCGGGAGTACTTCGGTGAGGTGTGAAAGGGACCGCCTTGCTTCCTGATGGGTCCTCAGGCACTTGAGAATAATGTGTGCAGGAAGGATGAAAACAAGATTTCTTCCCTCTGCTAGGCGGTCTCCTGTCCTTACTCTTTGATTCCTTCGGGGAGTTAATAGTCCCAAGTATAGCGCTTTTGCTTTGATTGCACGATTCGTTCCGTTAAGTTTTTATCTGGGGTCGTTACTGGTCACAAAGGGCGGTGAAATTACAGAAATGTGTAGATGCGTTCAGATTTAAGGAATTCAGTTAGTGAGAGAGCTTGTGAAGGGATGTGGGAGGTGGGGAGACGAAGAGGAAAAGTTGGTGAGATCGGGGAATTTGTTTCATGGACTCTTGTGATTTTTAGGCGCCTTTCTTTGTTGGAAAATTTGAGTACAAAATGAGCAATACTTATTCAAAGCTTCAGATGAAGGTTTTTCATGGACGGCCTTATTTGCAGACTTGTATTTGGTATAACTCAACTGAGGCGGAGTTTGTAAAAGGTCAGTTATAATGGAAACTCTGGCCAGGGTTAAGATTGCCTCCTCAGTTGTATTAAGAATCCCGCTAGCCGTGTGGAATAGCTCTGAAAAGGGCCAGTGTATTGGAATGGAAGCATGAATACATTTGGGAAATTAGTACCTGTGTTCCTCCGTGGGTGCCTGCAGACATTTATATTGTAAGTAGTATCGTTGAAGGGTGGCTTGTTGGAACTGGTAGCGCCTTAATAAAGTTTCAGGACAGGTTCAGGATCTTCATTCATTTCCGATTTTCCCTTTGGAGCCATTTCTCTTCATTGGCTGCTGTCGCCTAAATTGGTTTTCACTAAAGCTGTAAATAGTGTGTAGCCTGGTGCTTCTAGCTTCTTGATTGAAAGGGATCAAGTAAGAATACCTTAGTCTTCTGCATTTTTGATGGTAGGATACTGGTAATTGTCCAGCCAGACCTCTCAAAAGAAGCAACCATTATATAAGGGCACCTGGACTGGCTCTGTTGGAAGAGCATGTGACTCTTGGGGCACCGAGGTGGCTCAGTCCGTTAAACGTCTGACCTCGGCTCAGGTCATGATTTCACAGTCCGTAGGTTCGAGCCCCACGGTGGCCTCTGCTGACAGCTAGCTCAGAGCCTGGAGCCTGTTTCAGATTCTGTGTCTCCCTCTCTCTCTGACCCTCCCTCTGTTCACGCTGTCTCTCTCTCAGAAATAAATAAATCATTAAAAAAAAAAGTTTAAAAAAAGAAGGAAGAGCATGTGACTCTTGATCTTAGGGTGGTGAGTTTGAGCCCCACCTTGGGTGGAGAGATTACTTAAAAACAAATTGTGGAAAAACAAAAAGAAGCAACTATTCTATCTCGTGCCGTTTTAGGGACATAAAAAATGTAACTTCCCACCATTTAAAAAGAGAATTGATTTATTTTTGTCATTTTTTTAGTAGTTTATCCATCAGAATCTCACCTTTTTTTATACTGTCTCTGGTGATATAGCCAGTTTTGCATTAGACTTGATAGATTTTCACTTCATAGGTTATTTCTCTGAAGAGTTTTTGGAACAAAATGCTAATGGCAAGTAGGCGGGCTCACATAGGAGGGGGCTATGCTTCTTGTTCGTCTAAATGTCTGGCACATAGTAGATAGTTTAGATTGTTGAATATATGGCTTTGAGGTCCTTAGAATTCCATGTGTTAACAGAATGAATTAATGTGCATTTATATAATTAGTTTTCCTGTCTTTGATCAGTGACATTGGGCAGAGTATAACTGTTGCCCTTGGCATGTTTGTCTTAACAGGTTGTTGTTGTTGTTTTTAAGTTTTATTTATTTTGAGAAAGAGAATCCCAAATAGGTTCTGCACCATTAGCACAGAGCCCGACTTGGGGCTTGAACCCACGGTCTTTGAGATCATGACCTGAGCAGAAACAGAGAGTTGGATGCTTAACCAACTAAGCCATCCAGGTGCCCTGTCTTACCAGTTTTTATATACTCACCTTTATGTGCAGATTGTGCAAGTGACCGTTTTAAATATCTTATGTGAGGACCTGGAGAGTCCCCAGGTTCTGGGTTTTAACAGCAAGCTACGTAATGTGAATATTTTGTTTTATTTTTAAATGTTTACTTATTTTTGAGAGAGACAGAGTGCTAGTGGGGTAGGGGCAGAGAAAGAGAGGGAGACACAGACTCTGAAGCAAGCTCCAGGCTCTAAGCTGTCAGCACAGAGCCTGACACAGGGCTCAAACTCACAAACCATGAACCGAGAGATCACGACCTGAGCTGAAGTCAGACTCAGCTGGGGTCCAGCACTTAACCAACTGAACCATCCAGGTGCCCCTATAATTTGAATATTTTGTTTTAAAAGTAATCTTGAAAAATCTTTTGGGTCTTTGTATAAAGTTAAATAAATAGTGTTTCCAGGGACTCCTGGGTGGCTCAGTCGGTTAAGCATCCAACTCTTGATTTCAGCTCGGGTCATGATCTTGCAGTTGGTGAGTTTGAGCCCCACATCAGCCTCTGCACTGACTGTGAGGAACCTGTTTGGGATTCCCTCTCTCTGCTCCTCCCCCACTCAAGCTCTCTTTCTCTCTCTTTCTCAAAATGAATAAAAACAATTGTATTTCCAGATAGTGATGTCTACCGAAAAATTGAGTAGCCTCTCCAAAAATTGGAGAAGTTATTCACATACAGGCAAATTCAGATCATGTCAGTATTTGAATTGAATAATTGTGTTAAGTCTTTCCTGCCTTTAGCTTTTACAAATTTTTTTTAAAAGTTTATTCATTTATATTGAGAGAGAGAAAAAAAACAAACCCATGTGCACTGCAAGCAGGGGAGTGGGAAAGAAAATCCCAACCAGGCTCCAGACTGTCAGCATGGAGATCAGTTTGGGGCTTGTTCCCGGGAACCACAAGATCATGACCTGAGCCGAAATCAAGAGTCGGACACTCCACCGACTGAGCCACCCAGGTTCCCACTTTTATGATTTGCTGACCAAGGGAGGGGAGTAACCTAATTTGTCTGTGGAATTGTGCCTTTCTCTTTAATAGTAGCTAACACATTGAGGGCCAAACAAAACTGTGGTATTTGAGAGGTTAGTGTCAATAATCTGGTTTTGTTTTGTTATCTGTGAATGCTTTGGTCTCTGCTTTTAGTTCCAACTTAGCTGGGACTCCTGGGCAGTGCAGTCCACTGAGCAGAGCCTGCTCGATTCTCTCTGTCCGCCCCCCTGTAAAATAAACTTAAAATTCCAACTTAGCCATAGTTCTGGTCCAGCTCTCTAATTTTATTTCATCTTAAACTAAAAGACTTGCAGGTTATCACTGTGTCCTACTAATATTTGCACATTCCTTTGGCCTCTCAACCCAAAGCTGTGTCTGTAGTTTCATCCACATCAGCATCCTGAAGGGGGATAGCCAAGTTTCTGACACAGCTCAGATAAAGTTTTAATTTCATTATCACACCAGTATTCTAGTCCTAGATCCTGGAATTCAAGGGCAGGTATTCCTTTAAAAATGAAACTTGCTGCTACTGGGTTTGTGGCACAAGTTGTTTTCTGCTCAGTAAAGTTTTCCATCTGGAAAGCATTTACCTCCCAAACAGCCATAGCTAACAAAAAGACTAACAGTTTAGAAACATGAGTCAGGAGGACTACAAATTGAGTATATACTACACATGCCTTCACCTGCCTTTTAATGACTGGCATGTAGTTGCTAATGCTTAGCAAAGGTGTACTTCTTTCTTGTTTTCCATTTTGGGCTTGCAGATCGGATTTTACTGGTCATTCCCTAAAATGCTGAGAGCTTTAGACTTCTCTTCCCTGATTTTTGCCGTCTGAGACATCCATCCTTACTGCCCATGTAGGGTTCAACGTTACACAGGATCCATACCTATCTTTAATTGAATGTCTGAATAAAAACAGAAACGGGTGCCTTGTGGCTCAGTCGGTTGAGCATCTGACTCTTGATTGTGGCTCAAGTCATGATCCCAGTGTTGTGGGATGCTCAGCGTTGGAGCCTGCTTAGGATTCTCTCTCTCCCCCTCCATCCCCCT